CCATTTTCGAACGAATTAGCCCATACAATAACTATATTTCTGCGTTCCTCTATACATAACCTTCATCTTGACCATACATTTAACATACATTTAACATAGGGTTTAAATATCACTACGCCAACATAGGGACTCATTTTTAGGTAAAATCCCTACTTAACCGATGAAAATTAACGAATAAAGTAGTTCCAGTTTACGGCACTATATTTTTTGCGATTTCTTTCTAAAATGGCACATTTAGAAAGTAATTGGCCTCGGCTTTACATACATACCTCAAATGGCCACAATGCATATACTTAAGGTGCTATGGATGTTAACAGGAAATGACAAAACAGGAAGTGACAATTTTTTTGTATTTTTAGACATTTTTTGAACAAAGATAACAGAGTTCTGTTTTGACCTCCAGTCAATTCAACTAGTTCCAAATACCATTTACAGGTCCAGGATCACAATGTTCATGGTCAGAATGACCCTAAACATGATGAAGTAACCTTTTCTGCCCTATGAAAATGTGACTGAAAAATAGCTAAAAGTAGGTGCTCAGGAAAGGTCAATGAACAGAATCTTGTGATTTTTTCAGTAAATGTGTCCAATGTATTGCTCTAAATGATACAATCTTTGAAAATTTGATATCATTCATAGAAAAAGAAAAAAAATGAAAAAAATGATTTGAAAAGCAATCTATTTTCCTTTTTATGACCGCCATTTTTGTTTAAGACAATTTTCTAAAATTTCAAAGATTGTATCAGTTAGAGCATTATATTGGGCACATTTTCTGAAGAATTAAAAAGATTCTGTTCAGTGACCTTCCCTAGCTCCTACTTTTAGCTTTTTTCCAGTCACACTTTCAAAGGGCTAAAAAGGTTATTTCATCATGTCTAGGGTCATTCTGACCATGCACATTGTGATCCTGGTCATGTAAATGATATGTGGAAATAGTTAAATTGACTGGAGGTCAAACCAGAACTCTGTTATCTTTGTTCAATAAATGTCTAAAAATGCAAAAACAAATTTCACTTCCTGTTTTGTCATTTCCTGTTAACTTCCATGGCACCTTAAACCTACTATGCACACCATTGAAGTTGGCATGGCTTCGTTTTTAAGTATTAAAAAACACTGTCCTACCCGGAAGTGGTATTTACCGTAGTAACACCTTAATATCCAAAAATGGAAAAATTTTACTATGATAATTTATGCTCATTCAGCATTTTTTCAAAAAATTGAGTTATTTCATGCTCAAAACAGCTGGATTTTCAAAGTTTTAACACATTTTCTACAAAATCTAGTCATATTTGGGGAAATAGGTGAGGGCTGAGTCTCTAAAAACTGGCCAAAATGACCTAAAATTGGGTCATCAACTTCAGACATCTCATGCAAAAAATTTAGATGCAAAATCCCCGAGATTATTTCTTTTTGTAAATCATTATAGAAATGCCTTTCAAGTATTACACAGAATGTACTGAAATGTATGTTGCTAAATGCAAATATTTTGAGTCAAATGTGGTCCCCATGTGCAAAATCTGCCCTTTTTCTCCCCCTTTACACCAGTTAGGCCCCGGTGTATTGTGACATCATACTCATACCATTGCTACAATGTAGCATTTTACAAATTAATCATGATTACTCTTCCTGTGATACACCTGTGGTAGTTGAACACTGTTTTTGCATAGTGATATTCCCCAGTGTGTTGACTGATTACACGCCAGCTTACTTAGTTACTTACTAAGTACGCAATAACCACCATCAAAGACCTGCCGGCACCTATTTATTTTTGGGTTGGTAATGGAATTTTATAAGGGCAATACGAGAAGAATTCAATTTTTCAGAATTTCATGATAATTACGGTAGATTTTACGGTAGTTTGAACAAGAATACTTTAAATTCCAGCAGAAATATTGTAGATTTTCAAATATTTACGGTATATTTTACGGCTGTTCTTATAGAAAAAATCGAATTATAATAAAATATTTTACGGTAGATTTTGGTAAAATTACACTAGATTTTTTACGGTCGTTTTTACAGGAAAAAACAGTAATTTTTACGGTATTTATATTTTTTTACCGAATTTCGAATATTTTATAGTAGATGCCGGTAAAAATACGGTAGGTTGGCAGGTATGAGTTACCATGGCAACCATGGAATGGGTAAAAATGAGAGCAAAAAAAAATGTTAAAAGTAGAATTAGAATGCTCTTCAGACAATGTTTGATAGCTTTCCTTTATCACGGAACAAAGATCTTTGCACTGGTATGCCCATTTCCATGAGATAATGCACGTGACCCACCATGGTTTGGGACCATTATTTCTTAAACATTGGATTGAAAATGATGTAATTTATATAAATGATATTGTTAAAGATGGAATGTTATGTTCATATAATGTCATAGTTCAAAAAGTACAGTGCAATGGACAAACCATGCTGCAGTATAATATTTTGAAAGCATGTGTTAAACAAGAGTTAATTACAAGGTAGAGATTAAAAGGTGGATTGGATCGAGTGGATTGGATTCATGTAAAAGGTGGATTGGATCGGGAATCTTCAAAATGTGTAATTTCTTATAAAAAATTCTGTTGATCTCCCTCTAAACAATTTCCCTCTACAGTATTACAGGTCCCTTTTGAGAAATCAGAACAAAGCAATGACAAAAACATACTCCAATTAGTTCATGGACACTCTTAAGTATTTTACCGCTTTCCCTTGTAAATCAACTTTTGTAAGACATAGATCTTTAGAGAAAGAAACCTGTCATTCAAATTGATGTGTGAATGTTCACAAAACATTTCTGGTATGTTCAGTATGGATTGAAAACAGAACAGATGATATGGATCTTCAAACCAGTCCGCCTTATGATTTATGAAATGTCTCAAATTACACTTGGAATGAATAAGATCGTGTATCAGAAAACGGATACCAGGTCATCCTTCTAGCCCACCCAAGCAAAATAATATTACATCTATTATTTGACATTGTGCAAGTGAAGAGAGCACCAATCTTCCTAAAGGGAGATCAAGAGAATTTTTTAAAGGAAAATCCATATTTTGAAGATAGCCAATCCAATCCACCTTTTACATGAATCCAATCCACTCGATCCAATCCACCTTTTAATCTTTACCAATTACAAAGTATGGAGATGAAGAAAATAATAACAACTTGAGATTTGTAAATAGAGAATTATGTAAATCAGATTCAAAGTATATATACGATCAGAGTTAGTCTTGGCAATAAAATGTGATATTAAATATGATAATACATTGATAAGTAAGGATGTGTGGAACACACTTTTTAATTGTACAAAAGATAATAAACTCAAAATTATCCAATGGAAGATTATCCATAAAATTTATCCAAGTGGCAAATATCTAAAACAGTGTAAAATACAAGATTCAGATAAATGTAAATATTGTGATAATGAAATTGATGATGATATGCATTATTTTGTGAAGTGTAAAGACGTTTTAAATATTTGGAACACCTGTGATTGTAATTGTCTCAGTGATAAACAAAAACTTGGTGTTGAAAATTTCGCACAAGAAAAATATTTTAAAAGTGTGATTATAAAAAAAGCTATTCATATGTTTAAATGTGATCTGCTGAATGAGCAGGAAACTTTGAAAATGATATGTAATCACACTACTATACCTTGCATTTGGTGTTCATGAGCAACCCATTTGGCTTATTAGTAATGATTATGTTTTTTTTTTTATTTGTCTGTTCCTTATGAATGGTTTATCGGTTGAAAATTAGATGCTAGTAAGGCACTTTCAAAAATATATTAAACAATTCAATTAGACAAACAAAGTATCTTATGCATTTCTAGGTGTTAGGTATAGTAGTGTGGTAATAGGGAAAAATCATTTTACAACATGTAACCTTTATATGTAAATGTATTAATTGTACTGTATATATGTTTTTGATTTGAAATATAGTTTTTTAATAAAAAAAATGGTGGGTTTGGGTGCTTTTTTGCTCCCATTTTTTACCCCATTTCTACGGTTGCCATGGCAACTATTAGGCTTTGGTAACCATGCCAACTTGATTTTTGAAGGACATCCACCTGATAGTAGTTGGGCCAGGTTTGATGGAAAATGGGCCTGGTTTGATATGCTGGCAGTGAGGCTGATTGTGGCAAGAAGTGAAACGGCAAAACAATGGTGGAGTCTTGTACTATAATTTTAAAATAGAGCTCTCCAAGAGAAATATTATCATGTAATGCAACAGGTAACTTATGTAAACAAATTTTTAAATTGATGTCATCTTTTATGAATTATCTGAAATAAAAAAAGAATTTTAAATATAAAAAAAGGAATGCAATACAAAGAGAGAATTGTATAATAATCACAAACTTTTAATAAATACATGCTGGTATAAGGTAAAAAAAAAAAAAAGGTGGAGTCATACCATACGATTTTACACAGGACGCAGTTGTGAAAACAAAATGGCAAAAAGCTTATGAACTTTTAGGATTATATCTAAAGGTAGAGTATACCATTGATAGTGCTGACTTTGAATAGATCTACAGCTTACAATTACTTTTCCCTTGGCCTTTATGCTTACACAGCTGAGCCAGCCAGCTGAGTATCTCACCTGTTACCTTTAAAAAAGGTGCGGGTATGTCAAGTCTATAGTTTATACTCATTCATATTTAGCCTCAATTAATAAATAATGACAACTTACAATCGATTTGACGTTGGACTTCGGAGAAACTTTTTCGGAAGAAGTTCAGTTGGTCGATTTTGAATATCTTCAAATTGGGTCGGCGCCTGTCTCGTCTTTACGTAGTCTGGTCGTTTGAGCCCTATTCTTCGAAAAACTGAGTCTCGTGTAAACATTTTACCAGTATGCTTTGCACTGACTAAAGATAATAGTTAGCGTTTATTTATGTAATAATGCGTTTAGTCTATGAATTTCTGTCAGCCTTCACGCCTTGCTTAGAATAGTCTCAAAGCCCGAAATCCCGTAATGTTACAACGTCCGCGATTGGTTATTTTGACAAGTTGACCCATATTACGGCCAATGAGAAAGTGTGGATCATATTAGCTTCGGTTTTCGTAGTTGTTGTTGGAAAAGACAAAAATGTAAGTACTATATCATCCGAATATCATAAACATCCCTACAGTTTGAACATTCCAAAACGTTCAAAATGGTAGTTGATAAGAATTCGTTGTTATGTTTAGCTTTTGTTAGGTTCAAAGCGTAAATGAGATTGAAAATTCGTTCTTATCAATTTTTTTTTTTCATTTTCTCGAAAATTTTTAGATTTTCATTTTGAGTTTTGGCCTGGGCTTTGGCTTAGTCCTTACTTTGGCAAAATTTGTTGTATACACAGATTTTTGAAGCGAATTGTATACATTTTTGAGCATATTATTTAGGTAAACTTCCCTTGCCTTTTCTTTGTCACACGACCGCTCAGTCCTGTGTTATCACATCCTACAACCCCTTTAGATTGTGGTCGTACGCACGTATAATTGGTCAGTCAATGTTTTTACAAAGTTGGAGAAAATACTACGCACTGCACACCTAAATGACCTACCTCGATACATTCCTTAGTATTTTAGAATTCTTTTTATGATGTTACTATTTTTTTCAAGGCCTGTCTGCGTCGCTAACATGCTAAATATAAGAGTTAGCTGACGTTTGGGAGTCTGACTTACCTTCTAAAGGTTAGAACCCGAATCTTAATGAAACCATATCACCTTTGTTCCGTCAACCATGGAGCATTTGCCACAACATCCAAGAGGTAAATCATGGATCGAGAAAATGAATGATTTCCTTGTAAGTTCCGGAAGTTTCAATACGAAAAATTACCGAACATATGTGAAAACCGAATATTTGTTCGTTGTTTTCACGATTTACAGGTTCGTTTGTTCTTCAATGTTTTGGTCTAAATTATAAAGCATCACCAACAGGTCTTTCTCTATTAATCGACTAATACAGCAGCCGGCTCATATTTCTACGTAGCATTTCATTCAGACCAATAGTGGGAGTGTAGATCACGCAGTTTCGTTCGTTGCGTACTTCACTTGAAATTGGTAATTTTTAATATTGACTACTTCACTTAGCTTTGCGGATGTAGAACATTGCTTAATATTCTTTTAATTTTCACACCAGACATGCTTGGTTGACACGTCAACAAAGTAAAGTTCAAGGGTCAATGCGTTATTTCGTGATAACTACAACGCCTTCCCGGAAGTCAACATTGATGAAAAATGAAAAAGTCGGAAAAGCATTTACGCTAATTTCTATCAAATGCTATGTTTATGCATCATCATCGACGCAACAAAGGTGATATAGTTTCATTAAGATTCGGGTTCTAACCTTTAGAAGGTAAGTCAGACTCCCAAACGTCAGCTAACTCTTATATTTAGCATGTTAGCGACGCAGCCAGGCCTTGAAATCTAGTATAGATCGCCAATTGTATGGGTTTATCGGCAGAACGAAGAGATTTTAGTTTTTACATCGGAAATATATCAGCAGATTTCAAAATGTCGGAAGGGGAATTCCCCAGGGATTCCCTTATGACTGGTGCATGCCGGGAACTGAATGGAGGAATTTGACGGTTGAAATAAGTTAAATATTACACGCAAATATAACCAAACCTGTCTGGCCCAGTTATCTACTCCTGACGCCGTAGATCTGGGCCAGACGAGGTCCAATGCTAAAAAGGGGGGATTTACTCCGGAAAAAACATGTCGCTGAATCATCACTTATTATTCATTCCCTATTAGCCATCCAACCAAAACATCGGGTACCATGTAAACCCAGTGTTCGCGTTGATGCCGTTTTTTCTCGTTTTTACGGAAATTTCAAGAGGTCGGACGGAAAAATCAGAAACAACTTGCGTCCCTGGGACGCAAAGATTCTACACCACCATCAGGTAACTTTTACTGCAGCGTAGAAGTGATAAAACATGATTGTCCGAAGAATTTTCAAATCGTCTACTTCCTTGATCTCGATAATGTTTATGTCGGCAAATCTGATTGGCTACCGAAGTGTCTCAGTATATTCGCTGGGTTTCTAGTCTGAAACGCAGCATTTGATTGGCTATGGTGCCCTCCGAGTCATTCTGGAGTATACCGAAGCTGGATAATCTGTTGTACGCAAACATTAGTTTCAAAATTGAGAATTGGGATTTGTTTTTCACGATAATCTTAATTACTTCCACAAAGGAACTGTTAGATATCGATCTAATGTTATACATCAATATAATTATTTAATGATAGCTCGTTTTTCATCTAAAAGTCGTCAGAGTAAGGAGAAATGTTAGAAGAAACAAAAAGTTCACGACCTTGAAAATCGCTGGTTGGTAAAATGTGAAAACAACTCTTAATTTGAATATTTCTTTCATTCATTTCGGAGAATTTTGATATAACATTAGTAAAGAATTGTGTGAAAAGGACCAAATGATAGATATTTATCGGGAGAATGCATAGAATTACAATATTTATCCCGTTTTAGCGGAAGCACTCTATTATCGCCCACTTTACTTTCACTTTATAACAAAATGTGAGGGACGCAAAAAAAATTAGACGGGACTCACATTTTTCAAATGTGTTGCGTCCCTGGGACTCAGAAATTTAAATGGCTAGCGCGAACACTGTAAACCCAAGTATTTATTTGAAATAAAGAGAACTAACTTACGCGTAAATGTGGTGTTTTGTTTGTTATATTGATGTTGAAATGGGCACAACATTTCGTCAATATTTCGTCAGTTCTCCGCACCGAATAAAGTCACGTGATGTGACATAACACGAGTGTGACGCGATAATTTTTAAATTTTCATGGAACGAAAATACATTTCCCCGGGAATCAATATATTCCAAATATTACGATTTGTTCAGCAGATTTGTTATCAAAACGTAGATTACTTTATAAACAGACGTGTCTGTGTTGTATTTAAACTGGAAAGAAATATGGTGGACATTAAATACGATTTTTCAATTTGTTGAACTGACGGAATGTAGTACTGAACGAAATAAGCAGCCGAGACTTCTCGATATTCTACGAGATCACGAACAGATTGCAGAAGAATTTTTCTTTTTGCTGCGTTTAGACGTTTCGTTCTTATTTATTAGCCGTCATCCAGCGATGGAAACCTAATATAAATACTAAGTTTGATACAAGGAACAAACACGTAAGTGATTTTTATGATGTTTATTCATTTATCAGCACGTATTATACATTGAAAAACCAGTGTGTTTTTTTCCGGAGTAAATACCCCATTTTTTGCATTGGATTGAGTCTGGCCCAGATCTACGATATCGAGAGTAGATAACTGGGCCAGACGGGTTTGGTTAATGCAAATATTGCTATCAAAAACGTAAACCTCTTTGTTCTGCCGATAAACCCACACAATTGTGGATTCAACTACACAAAAAGACTGCTAAAATACCAAGGAATCTATTGAAATAGGTATCTTAAGTGTAAGTAGCGTAGAAAATTCTCCCATGTTGTAATCGTACAGACAAAAGAATAAGATGTTCGCAAGACTAGAACGTAGAGATAGTCTTGGAACGAGATAAGTCCTATGTTTCATTTCTATCACATGCATGGGCGTAGCGCCCGGTACGCTAGGTACGCACAGGCGTACCAGATGGTTGCAAATTCGCTCCAAATACAATAAAATTTCAAAATCTCAACTCTTGTTCCCGTGGTGGTGGCGTACTACTTAGAAAAATAGCACTCCGCCCATGACAGGTGCTCCCTGGCCATCCTGCAGACTACTGTGTTTGCGGGTACCCCACCTCTCTTACTTCCCAGGGAATTATAATCCAATGGGTGGACATGAGACATCATCAGGACAATGAGGCTCTAACAGTTTCATAATTTTTCGGTTCGTCTTACGTTTTTTACCTTTTGATTTCTCGGTTTTTATCGCACTTTGATGAAAAAATCAGATAACTCAAAACTCTGAAATTGAAACTGACACTTGCAAAATTATTTGTTTTACGCATACCTTTCTAAAGTTTCTACGTATTAGAACAACTTTGCATAACCTGCATTGCATATCCTTTTTTCTGCGATCAGGACAGCATTCATCGTTGGAAAGCCAAAATAACATCAAAATTATACTTTATACAGTAAATGAGTATCCATAATGCAGAGTTCTCTCCGTTCGAAACCATTTTTTTACATCACCAAAGCGAATGGCAATTTTTCCTGAATTAACAAACCATTAAAGAGTTTCGGTGAACCATTAGACCCTTAATATTAAGCCCTGGTACGGGATAAAGTGAGTGTTTTTGTTCCAGTACTAGGATGTTCTTATCTTGGGGAGTTGTACAATCAGCATTCTCTAGTATAACCATCAATAATAATCTCAGTGATAATCTCAACTGATGATAATCTCTAAAATTTATTTTCAGGGCACGGGACGAAAGCCCCGAAAAGCGAAAAGACAGAGGTCGAGCTAGAAAGAGAAGATCAGCATCTGCCAGCAGGTATGTCGCAACAGATGTTATCTTATGCTTTTCCATGGTTGATTTGAATCAGTGATCAGTCATAGGTTATCAAAGATCACTCATCGTCCGACAGAAATCTGTCTGAAACATTAAGTTTAGCTAAATACCTATCTCATGAGTTTGGTTACAATATTTTGAAGGTTTTGGAACATCTATCCGAATCTTACTTTCATACTACCTTGGTAGCCTTGCTATTTTGTCAGATAAATGTCAATCAGATGCTAGTAGATGCCGGGCACTATCGGGAAGGTGAGAAGATTTCAACAATAAACGTTGAAACGATCGCTGAATTCAAGTGATGGAACATGTAGGCTTAGGCTGAGATTCAATCACTGATCAACGACTACCTGGCCCACTACATTGACTGGGTCTTCATGCATTTTCATCTCGAAATCAGTTATAAATCAACATTGATTCGCATGATTTAATCTATATTAATGACTCTTACATTCCAATGTACATTTAATTACATAGTACTAATATATTGTAACTCTAAAGAAGCACTTGATCAGATCATTGAATTTCAAGTCGTAGACGGAAAGTTTGCTTTGTTTATGCAGGTCAACCTAATAATAATAATAATGTTTTGATTGGTCAATCAGCCTGAAGTCACACGTCGTGTCCATGCGATCTTGTCAATCAATAAGGTTTCGCGATACCCCTGACAGCGTAGGTATTATGGAAATCTCGAAACCTCTGAATAACGTAGCATAATATCAGCGGAGATGTATTGTATGATGTAATAGTTCAAGATCAGATATTAAATAAAAAAAATACCGACTTGGGCAAGGCTATGATTTGGTTGTGACTCCAGATATAACCAAATGCCAAGTTAGTGTAGGGAAACAAGTCTGATAAAAGCATGAAACCGTGATCTTCATGAGATGAACAATATTGTGTTTCACCCTGTTGAAATCTAAAAATTACCAGTTGACCAAAATTGTTTGCATTCTCCCATATAAAAAAGAGTGAAATATTGAGTTATTTTACTGCAAAAATTTATTTTCACAAATCAGACAAAATTTGGTTAAGATATGCTCATTTTTCATGATTCCATGTGGGTGCAAATGAATTTTCAGGTGGGTGCAATCTTTTTTTTAAATCTCAAGTGGGTGCTCAGCCCACTTGCTTTAATCCTGGGGAGATCACTGTAAACAGTAGAACTAATAATAAACTATATATTTCCAGCTCATCTGATTCGTCAAAAAGTCGTTCACGTTCCGGAAGTTCCAGTAGCTCAAGCTCAGGAAGTAGTTCCTCTGGAAGTAGTTCCGGCAGCTCCAGATCAGGAAGCAGCAGTTCAAGTAGTTCCAGTGGATCGAGTTCATCGAGGAGTCGCAGCAGGGGACGTAGCGGGCGAGGAATCAGACAGAGGAAAAAGTCTCGATCAAAATCTCGGTACGTTATCTTCAGTGACACTAGTTCATGTCTTCAAATATTTCAAAAAAATTTATTATAAACCTGACGTATTATTAAAATAAGTAAGCACCATCTTTCCAGTGATACAAAGTTTATAATTCTTGCAGAAAATTGTGCACTACTCAAGAGTTTCATGAGCAGCAGGCAACAGTCAATTTTTTCCAGTTTTCTCAATTTTCCCCAAAAATACAGATTTTTCCTTGTTATTATGACTTTTCTGTTTCCATGTCACCCGGCACTTATGGTGACCTAGTTATAGTCTCCAATTTGTTTGTGGATGGTGTTTGGCATTTGACGGTCAGAGAATGGCATCTCTAACAAATGGGATGTAGTGGCATTTTGCATGTTAATGCCTTGTGTCCCTTGTTGAATTGTAACTTTTAAACAAAGATAACTCTGTATCTTTAGTCTGTTGCCTGAATTTGTATCTTGGGGTCTCTGATTGCTCTTGTACTTGACACATTTTGAATTCAATTCATGCCAATTGACCATGTGACAAGTCATTATAATTCTTTATCGTATGTAAATATGTTTATGTGATTTGAATTCAATAATTGATCAATTATTTTCAATTTCAGTTCCAAGTCCAGATCTCCAAGAAGAAAGAAAAGAAGCCCATCTCCAAAATCATCAAAAATATTTGTAGCAAGAATCACACGAAATGTTAACCAAGAACACATTCAAGAGATATTCGCCAATTATGGCGTCATAAAACATATAGATTTCCCTGTGGATAGGGCTCACCCAGAATTCACAGTTGGGTCATGTTATATACAATATCATAATCCAGAGGATGCAGAAAAAGCTGTAAAATATATGGATGGAGGTAAGGTTTCCGAAAAATAAAGTCATGTTTTGAAATAACAGGCATTTTCCATATTTTCCTAAAATTTGTGTTCGGTGCTTGATGTTTGGCATATGTGTTGGGCATTTGGCAATTGGCATTCTGTGTTGGGCATTTGGTGGTTGGCATCTGTAACAAATTGCAGGAGGTGACATTTTGCATGTTATTGTCTTGTTCAATCCTCATAACTGAAATCATAGATTTTGTCTTTTCCAATCTACACGTCTGAAATTTGAATGATCTATCTCAGTGTGTGTTTAAAGTCAGTTGTCTTATTAGTAAACAGCTTCACCATCCAATGCTCTGATTTTTACAAATGTTCTTGCCGACACAATTTAAACAATGAAAGTTTTAAATGTGAGAGTTGCAATGTAAACTTGGGATTAAGATAAATATTATGGGCATAATTTACTTTTTATGAAGAAATTGTCTCATATTTGTGAAATGTAACATTAACTTTGTTTTTCAGGTCAAATAGATGGCCAGGAAATCACTGCAAATGCTGTACTGGTTGCTCGTGATCCTCGTCCCCCACGACGTAGCCCGTTCAGAGGTGACAGATGGGGTGGTCCCAGGGGAGGGCCCAGGCGATCACCCCCACGCTTCAGAGATAGACGGAGGTACGATTTGTACATCAGATAGACACTGTGGTTCCGATTATTTTGCAAAATGAAAAATGCAACATTTTCTGTTATAATGTTTCACTTTCACTCCTTTGACATTTTAACATCACTAAACCCTTAAACAGTTAGGTTAGATATAGAATTACACCAATGGTAAGGCAACATTTTTCTGACAATTTTAAGCCAGATCGATTACCACGCCATCTTTATTTAAAATTATTTCTATCGACCTTTGCCTATGACAAAAACCATTTCGGTCTCTTGATGATAGTGGAACTTTTCATTAAAAGAAATAAAACATGATTCAAAGCATTTATTAATTTTAGATTGAATAAAAGATAGTGTTGATACTCAAATTAATTGCCAAGTTGATTTCTATTCTTGTAGTCTGTTTTTACTTTTCTTTGAGATAATAAAATGTAGAAAAACAGTTTTCTCCAGAGTTTAGAGCTCTGCAAGTCGCTAGCCTCTAAAATATTATAACAGTATTACTGTCAGATATTTGTTTGACTAAAAACTGTTGTCCTCTGACAATAAAGCCCATATCTTGAAATATTTTGATTTGTATTTAAAATTATTGTGAGTGGAGTCTCCAGTAATGTAACATATTTTGGTAAAATGAATACTCTATGTCTAGTATATTTTATTTGAAAGGATTTGTCATTCCATAGAATATAAAGTTGCATTTTCTGTCACCACCACCACAAGTGGTTACATATTGATAACTCTCCAACTTTTTGGTGGATGGCGGTTGTACATGGAGTTAAACATCAATTTCAATTTTTTCATTTTCAGGTCTCCCCCTAGGAGAAGATCTCCCCCAAGGAGAAGGTCAAGATCTCCTGTGAGGAGGCGCAGGAGTAAATCAAGTTCTAGCTCATCATCATAATTTAAGCTCATCTCCATTGTTCAAGCTCATCTCTATAGACAATTAAACAGTTGTGTGTAACTTAGTACTGAATAGTCACATTTTGGAAACTTGTGTTATGAGATGAAGCATTTGGCCCAATCGCTTAGGAGAATTTTATATGAATCATCAACATAAACCATTCTTAATTGAAAAATTTTAAGAATATGGAACTAATATTTTTCCCTGTTTTACAATAGAATTGGAATATTTGTAATGGACTGATGTGGTCGCTGTCCATGACTGGTGTGGTTAAACAGGTGTGGTTATATACACTGCCTTAAGGATTGGTGTGGTTCTCTGGATGGAGGACTTGTGCAAAATGGTCCAGCCACTATGTAGAATGGTTAAGAGAAAAATATTGCTTGTAATATGGTTTAATCTGGCTGTGTTTGATTGATATGGCTCAGTTACAGGCAGATTATCCTACTTCTACTCCCAACATGAGAAAGTAACTCAATTTTCATTGTGGAGATAATTGTTAGGATTCAGCATCAAAGTTCACCTTAGAATTTGACATTGGTGAATACAGTGAAGATTTATCATCTGTAATCTGCATCAGAATCTGTGAAGTCCTAGCTTTGTGGGTTCATTGGATGGTAAACTAAAAAGGCTTGCAATGCAGTTAATGTATGCCATTGGACAGTGACAATGCAATAAGTTAATGCCTACAGTGATTGTACTTCTGATAAAAGAATATTTTGACCCATCACATTTTCTTCAGAATTTTGTCATAAATATTTTCACAGAAGCGAAAAGTGTAACTGGATCAAAGATGGTCAGAATTTGAATTGTTCACTTTTATTTTATATATCCACTCCGAAATGTATCTTGCTTTCATCATTGGCCTAATTCATCAATTAAATGATTTTAGTGCGTGGATGATGTCTCCGTACAGTTCATCAACAAAATATCTTTATCATTGGAAAGGAATCCATCTAATAGGAATAAAATGAATGTAGTGTGAGAGGTCATATTTTGCAACAAAGCAATTATACAGAATATATTGTAATCTAGAAAATACGAGTAAATGTGCACTGTGAATGAAATATTGTACATGTTGTCATGCATTATACCTTGTAAATAAAGATTTTAAAAAGCAATGGAATTCCAAAGTGCGTCCATTTACACACCCTTCACGTGGTACAGTTTCCATTAACGCAAATGCGAGTAGGTAGTTACCAGTTTCACCACCAGGTGGCTCGCTCGGGTCAGAAAGCATGGCGGGTATAGTAGAAAGTTCCTTTTAACTTAAATTACATCTGTTTTAGTGATACAATTTTCATACAGCCCTTATGTATCGAATAGTTATGCAAATTAAAGTATGTCCAGTAAAGGAAAATATTATATGTCCAATACAAGAAAAGATATTTCACTTTTTGTGATTTTGTAATATGCGGAATCAACCCGAACTAGAAGTTACATTTCCAAAAAAGATTAAAATTTCAAAGTTGATAAACAATTTTCGAAACCATATATTTAGATGTATTTTTATATGTAGATTTCAAATATGACATCACTTTGACTGAATTTTGAATATTTAATGACGCAAATCAAGATCATTTCTACTCGCATCTAGTCTATTAGAATTATTTCCTCTGAATGCTTCCATTTATTTTGAAAACTGAAGTGTCTGGATGATGTATAATGATTTTATGAATACTCTAGTCACTATTACATGATGGTATAACTCAAGATGTTGGAAAAATGATGGATTTTGTAAAGAATGAGGTTTTACAAAAAATTGTCTTGCATTCTAGAAGATTTGAGAATTTCTATATCGTATTCAGAAAAAATGTTGAGACGTAATGATACAAGAAACATCTCTATGTAGCATGGGCTATATTTCTACGAGAAAGAAAGGGTCATATGCTGTCAAAACTTTGAAATAAAAAGCACGTCGTCCATTTCCGTTCGTACGACGTGTTGATAATGTGGTGTAAAATAATTCCCAAATCATAAATAATCAATATTACCTATTTCCACATCCAGGGGGCAGCACCTGTACCTAGGCATTGATTACAAGATCCTGTTGTTGAAGTTGATATGGGAGGGGGTCCAGGGCCTTAACCCTAGAAGCCCTGAGGTAAAATAGGTCAAAGGAAGCCCTTAGGGGGGGGCAAACGGGCCCCCACTTGTAAAATCTTTAAGTGAAGGTAGGATGTTCAAACTCTTCTCGAATATACTTCATTCATTATCTACTATATTGTGTTATAACTTTAGCAACTATGATGATGAAAGATTGCGTAATTTTATTCTAAAGACAAAAAGTAAGACCGATTTTTTCAAGCTACTAAGAATTTGAAGATCCTACACGATGCCTTTCAGAGAACAACTTTTATAAAACAAATTCATACGCATTGTAAGAAACAGTCCGTATCGACATAAGCTTTCAAGAGAAGCGTATGCTGTGGCGCCTACGCATGATATGTGAACAAATTATCATACTCTATAGTTCCCTGTCATATACGTCGGATTGAGTTCAAATATCAAAGCATTATGTCAACTATAAAATAGTTTGATTCGATAAAAACTAAAAAATATCGAAATCGACACTTCCCGTCCGCCGTCTTTGATGCGAAGGTGACGGCCGTTACCTTCGCTTGATACTGACCAGTGATAATGGGTGTTAGCTTTTCGTCGTTCTCTGATGAGGTGGTCTCCTGTTGTTCAATGAGTCCAAAAAGAATAATGCTAATTTAACTTTTTACATAATATATTTTTTGTTGATTTTTCATACAAAATAGGGGAGATGTACTTGTCACTTCCTATGATCAAATATGTTACTTTGCTTCCCTCTTTAGTTTATATGAGAGTAGAAGGCTGATTGAGTGTGATAACGTATGGTTTCAGAATGCCTTAGCCTTGCCCAAGTCGGTATTTTTTACTTATCTGATCTTTAATTATTTCCAAAATATACAACTGCAAAAAACATGAAATTAAACATGTTAAAGGTCCATGTGCAGTATGGCAAGGGATTTTAGACGGTCATACTTTTTACCATGGGATAGAAATCAAGATAAGTATTAAGAGACTTGGGCAAGGCTACGTATGCCTATATGGAAGTAGCTGAATAAGTAACTAAGTTAGTAATTGAGTATGCAGCTAGCTATGTAGCTGAGTTAGTAGCTTAGTGAGGCGCTGAGAGGCCCTGTTGGCGTTTTTGACAATTTGTTTGAAGGTCAGCCAAAAGTCAAATCTCAAATCAAATATCATATATTAACACCAGGCAACTTAAAGACCTAAAAATGAAAAAATTGACCTTTTCCAGTTTTTGAGCTCTTATATCTCAAAACTGGCACACAATTTTAACAGATAACCAATTGCGCATATGTAAAGAACCATTAAAGGAATGTATATTCTGACTTTTAGCCAAGAATATTGATTTGTAGCCTCGAATTTTGAGAAAATCAGATTACACAGTCTGTGTCCTAGTGGTATGGCATTGACCTTTGACCTTGAAAATTTCACTTTTCAGACCTCAGTAGCCAGTTTATGATCAAGCTGACCCAATTTGAATAAAAAAATCAAGCATAAGCTGCCTCTATAGCAAAAAGAGCAAGACATCTCATAAAATATTAAGAAACATTTTTTTAAAGTTAGGTTAATTCTGTATTTTACATGTTTTAGGAATGGTTACAAAGGATAGGTATCGATATGGTGAACTGAATTCAACAATGTTTTTCTCTTAAACCAATTATTGAAAACATTAATTCTGTAAAAAACACGGTCCTTTATGTTATGTTGACTGATTGGCAACAATTTAGTGCTAAAATTATTTATAAATATTTAATTTTATATAACTGTTTTTGTTAACATTTTTTGTTTTTAGTGCAATTGTTTTTTGTTCCTTTCTACCAATTCCCGAGAATGAAATAAAATGTCTTTCCGAACCGTGTTTGAACAAAATAGCATATACAACATTTTCTTAGACCTCTCAATATTATAGTTATACAAAGGAAATTTTGGTTAATTTAACAAAAGTATGCAAAAACTTAAAACAAAAACCCCCAAAATAGATATAAACTAAGATTTATAATCCTTTTATTTCATTAACAAGATTTTTTTAATCAACCAAACTTTCCTTTGTACAATTACAATATTGAGAGACCTAAACACGTTGTGTTTATGTCGTTTTGTTTCAATGAGGTTCGGATAGATGTTTCATTTCATTCCGAATATATAATACCAATAAGAAGTGTCTGATATGTTTTCTAAGAGAAAAGTATATATATACATTTGAAATTATAATGTTACCATCCAAAAGATGACCATTAAATTGATGATGTGTAAAATTTTCAGAATCTTTTGATGACTGGTTTAAGAGAAACGCGTGTTCAAAAAGTTCACCATATCGATACCACTCCTTTGAACATATTCGATTTCAGGTTTAACTGTATTTACACAAAACACATTGAGGTCCTCTATAATGCCATAAACATGGCGATGTTTAGAAAGATATAATAATAATAATTATGGTTTTGGTAGCTGATCCTTGCTTTCCTTGTCGACATATCCGGCATTTTCCTGTCCTACTGAGTCATTTATAATTGATGGACTCGAAATATTGAGCTCAGTGTTTCCTCCCGCCTCGGATATATTGCTCCTGTTTGACGGACCTGGGCCCACAATAGAAAGAAAAACAGGAAGAACAAAAAGTCCATGAAAGAAGCCAAATGAAATAACAAGAAACATTGTTTTAAAAAAAGTACGGAATATGTAGGTATTTGCTGTCGAAAGTACCAAAACGCCAAGTAAAGTCGACATAGCTCCTTGTAGAATAGGTAAACCCAAAGAATGCAGAGCATCTATGGCTTTTGAGTTCTTGCTGCTAGCCTTACTAATGACAAAATGGTAAGCGATGTGGGCAGAGTAATCAACAGAGAAGCCAATGCAGAGAATGATGTTGATCATAGAGATCGAGTCCAAGTTGACAGCCCAATGTGTCATGTAACCAATAACACCGGTTGATATCGAGCATACACTGAGCGTTACCCAGATCGCACTTAAAGGATGCGGTACGAGGAGTAAAGCAACGAGCAACATAACGGCTACTGCCACACCAATATTTTGCAGTGTGTTAGCTAAGATAACAGAATACTGGTCAAAAAAGATGAATGCCGGATGGAAAACGGTGACTTTTAATTTGGAACGCTTAGCAATATCTCTTACTTCTTTCATGAATTGTTTTTGTTCATTTGCGCTGTTTTGGCCATGGGACTGAATTAGAAAACGAGATGCCGATATGACACTTTCATTATCATTAAATGCGATATCTAATTCATAACGTTTATAGCCTGGGATTGTTAGAAATTGCTCTTTGAGTATTTTAATAAACTGGGTACCATTCAGATTTGTCTGTCCTGTCAATTCAAGATATTCTGAAAAGTCTTTCTGCCAGTTCTCCATCAATGTTTGATTTGGGAAAAGCCACTTCGATTGTTTAAAATCATCTATCAAGCTCTCCATTGGCCCTAACGAAGATTTGTTCCAATAGTGTAAAGGTTGTGTGATCGCCACCTGCAGACGTGGGCCATATTTTACGTTGAAAAGATTGTCGTCATGGTGATAGAAACTTGTTGCATAGGAGTCATCGGGAGCAAGGTTTTTTAGCTCCAATCCTTCTCGTAGGTTTAATGCGCCCCATATAGCGACAGCTAAGTAACCCATGAACGTGATTATCACGAGCACTTTAGACACAGGGCGCATTAACGCTGGTCCGTAGTAGGTTTTGAAAAACTCTGTCCCCCAATGAATTGTGATCCCTTTGTGATGAGTTTCAGAACCACCGCTGCACCAGAAACGATACATTAATGTTTTATTACCTAAATGAAAAACAATTTATTAAGAGTTTTCTATACAGCGTGTAGCTCACGTCTGCAGAAAAATGTGAAAGACAGACATACTTTCTGAGATTTTAACATTCTTGTCACATCTAAGATGTAATTATTACAGTAATTGACATCGAAATTAGAGTTATGACATATTTTTAGACAAATTCATACATTTTCTAATCAAACCCTATTCACAAAACAAAATATAGTTATAGACAGGGCGGGCCAAAAAAGTTAACCATTCTAATAAGTATATACTTATATCGTAAGGTTAACATTTTTGGCCAATTTTGTATTTTGACGTTTAACCACATACCAGCGTTTTCCTTAGGCAGAACCTTTATACATGCGTAGCAATGTCTGTTAGCGCCTTCCCTTCTTCCGAGTAGAGTCATACATCCTCCAAAGAAGGTTATCTGATAGATAAAGCAAAATACAACCGCCACACCAGTATACAGACAGAAGATACGTACACTTGGAAATGCCGTAATGGCGCCGATACAGAACGCAAGGGTGTTTGTAAGGGAAGTCAATGTTATTGACATCGCGGCGTCCTTGAACGTGTGTCCCATTCTTTCTTCGACCGTGTCGTAATAGCTTGTCTGCCGCCAAGCTGATATTTGAATGAACATATCATCCAAGCCTATACCTTCAAAATTGGAAAACATTATTAATGGCAATCAGTAGGCAAATATTTGCGGTGTCGTTCGTTGGAATGACAATGCAAAGGCCATTATCTGAAAAAGGATATTGATTGCATCGACGGAAAAGACATGTTATTATACAATGGTTATGCTTTGTACTCTGGAAGGCATTTTAAGTAGAATTTCAATTAAGTTCCTCATACATAAAAATAAGATATATGTGAAATGCGTAACAGACATCTATTATTTACCTATGATGAGAAATGGCATTGTTGCCACGATACTGGTGAATTCCACTCCGACAGCAGACAGTAGCCCAAATGATGTCAATATTGCAAGGCACGCCGTGATTACCCCCATGAATCCAAGCCAAGGCTTACTCCGAACCCAATCAAACATGAGACAAGCCAAAACAGAAAACAGACAAAGAATTGTATACGTTATGGCAAACTTTGAAATAATACCAGTAGTAGCAGTTTCCAGTTCTTCTGTTAGTGACTTTGAAGTAAGAAAATGGACATTAACTTCATTCGTATTAATGGATAACATGAATTTTTTAAACGCCCGAAGCCAGACATCAGAGTCGACCCTATTACTGGCGTTTTCGTATTTAACATAATACTGAAGTTGAATTGCTTGCACAAAATTTACAAGACCATCTTCTTGCAATGTTACTCCACCCAATTCTTTTCCAAGAAACCGCTGATCAAACATTGGATATGTCAGGTTGATGTGACTAATAGCACTGGCAGTGTAGTTAAGGATTTCTAAGATACTATTACTGTAACATCCATTTGATTTCGCACAGTAGAAGTCATATGTTTTGCCATCGCTTGAGTTCATTTTGCGTATACCAGCATCAATGCTTATGATTTCTTCCAAAATCTCCGTCGATAGAGCATTTTTCTTGTTATCTTTAGGAATAAAAATAACACGCGCATAACCATCTAAAGTGAGCATTCTCGTGGCCTGAAAGTTCGTTGACCAGTCCATAGGGAAATACTGTCTCATGATTCTGCGTTCCTCTTTAGCAGGGCCATTGTCTGGCGTGTACAGATACTCGGTGTCCACAACATTTCTGAGTCGAATAAGACCAACGCCACATCCCCCAGCTATTACAACAGGGATAATAATGAACGGCCATGGACAGCGTGCAACTAATTTACCAAGTTTGTAAAACAAACCGGCCAGTGGTTTCTCGATGCAGTCCGTCTTCATCATTTATTTCTAGGCACCCGGAATCTGAAAAACGTGCACGTTCATTTCTTAATTGTTTATGAATTAATGAATGAAACAACATTGATCATTTTGTAAAAGAGAGACGACAGGGTGGGCCAAAAAAGTGTAACAAGTTTTGTAGATAGACTTAATTTCACTTATAAGAACTACGATGTGTCCAAATCTACTAAGCTTCATTTCATGCGCCATTCATGCATAAATAGTTAGTAATCATGTTGTATTGAAAGACACCCTATACATTGTGTTTTGTTGTAAACGGTGAATTACTTTCTCCATTCATTGACAGATTGAGGTACTTCCACAAACTAGACCCCCTCTGAATTTATCTTTATTGTTTAGTATTGACACTATTTTATAATTCAAACATGAAATAAGAGAGGGTCCTAAGTGTGGAAGATACACAAGATGAAAGTATAGCAAAAATTTTAGTTTCCAAAAGGAGGCCATATTGAAATTGTAATTGATAATTCTGAGCACCATGTTCAAACCTCTAAACAGATCTAGACATGTACTTATTCAATTTTCAATGATACAATGTAACAAGATCAAAGAAAACATGTGTCATTTGCAATAAAGCAATTTAATCACAGGTAACTAAAAATATGTTTTTCAAAAATCTGTTCATGGAGTATACTATTAGAACATGTGATATGTAAGCAATGAGCCTGATAATCAAATAAAACGTTTCGGCTAAATTGTTTAAATGAATATTGGTTATTAAGTGTTCATATGAAATAAACTAAGACCATTATGTCATCTATCATTGTTTTAATTTCTTTGACCATGCCAAATGAAAATATAATGCAATGGAAAGTCGCAACTAAAGGTCTATGTGCAGTATGGCAAGTGATTTTAGACAGTCATATCTTTCACCATGAGTACTTTCTGGACATAAATACAGTGGTTTTTATTAAAACAATAAGTTTTCTTTCTTTGAATAAGTACATGTCTAGATCTGTTTAGAGGTTTGAACATGGTGCTCAGAACTATCTAGGTCAACAAAAAAGTTCTCGAAATCTGTTAAATCTTTTTTTTTTATTTCATATGAAATTTTCTCAGGATTCCGAATCTGAAATTTTGATCCGACTTCCGGCTGACCTTCTATGACCTTTTAAATTTTTATATATATATTTTTTTTAATATTCATTATAACTTAAGTTAAAGGTGGAATAGCGGTAAATCGGGTATAATTCCCTAGAAAAACTTCAAAGTAAATCGTTGGTGCCTCAAACCTGCCCTGAAGAATGGCTATGACCTGAATTTACTTTTGTCAAAATACCGCAATCTGAAAAAAAACCACTCACCTCGTTATCGACGAAAGAAGTATCAGTTTTGATCGACTGCGCGAGCAAAATTCAAGCTGGCTGAGCTAAATGGTTTTCGTTTGTCGTAAAATTGACCTCCTTTTAACCGCGCCATCTGGTGAATGAATCGTTGTTTCTGTGTCACATGATCAAGAGGAGGGAAAACCCCATGATTCAATTGATGACATACGATTTCCTCCTTCGCGCACCTCCTTTACGTATATTTGCTTACCCTCCATCTTGGTTTTCAGATTGACCTAGTTTTAAACCAATCAATGATCGACTCGCTAAACCAATCAGCGACGATGTCATCTCAATACAGATTTACATTATAAGCGTATGTCATCTTTGAACCCTGGGGTTTCTCTCCCTCTTACATGATCGTTGTTTTGTGTCACATGACCTACCTTTAGACCCTTCGCCACCTATCGTAAGTTTATCGAATTAAAACGAAATCTTTCGATCCAAGAAGAAAATTTGCACAAAAATTATAAACTCCGCTTGACATAATCCTTGTCACTCTATCGTTTTTTGATGAGACACATCGGAACTTGGGATTCATAGCCATTCAACCAAGCCACAAAAAGTATGTATATTAGTTGTTCAACATGTTCAATTGTGTTTATATTTTCGGCATACCACCTTTAAAATAAGTTAAATCAATAAGAGAGGACGAAGAGGTAAGAAAGTCAGTTCAATTAAAATTTCGAGTGTCAAAGGTCAAGGTCAAAAGCTAGGTCAATTCCGTTATTTTTAGAATCCTATCTTTTAAGTTCAATTAATTTCACATTTTCTTATAAATAAATCATGTGTAGGTTCTTTTCAGTCTTTTCACCAAAGTCTGGGATTATTTATGATATTTATTTAATCTGGAGTCTTGAATTGAACTTGTTCATTGTTATTTGTAATGTAGTTTAGAGGAATGGGCAATATATTTTATGGGCTAAGGGCAATTGAAATACGAAGGCCCATCCAGAAGTTCTGATAAAAATGCTGTATCTTTTTTTAAGAAGAGGAAATTTTTACATAATTTGTAATGCTATACAGCAGGGAATTTTCAGAATGATAAATTGATAGAACTTGCTGTAATCACACTTTTCCTACTTTTCCTGTAGGGGCACTTGGTCCAGGATTTGAGCTCATATTGACATCATAACTCATATTGAAAATCTGAGAAACTAAACCCAACTGTGCAATCCTATTTGACGTAAAACTCAACAAAGATACTCAAAATATTGTCCTTCGGCATTTAACACACTTCATTAATACACCCTGGTATCTATCCATCCACTGTTAGGACACACCTTTTCAGTTCTAGTGTGGTGTCAACAGCATTTTTGATTCCAACAAATGTTTTTAAATATGAGACACTCGGATCCCCCTCTTTAGGGCCGGTCCAAAGTCCAAACAGTTGTCCAAACAAAGTCCAGGGGGCATTATCTGGGAAGTATGGAGAATGCCCTAATATCCTCCTGTCCTAGTACCTACATATTTATGATTGAATCTTTTGCTCTGTTCGGTCGTTTTTTCTGAATTGCTTTACGTAGTTGAACTGATAGCAATTTGTGTGTTTATCACTTGTCTAATCAGCGTTCATGTTTTCTGTATCGAACATGATTTTTAATGATTTCACACTTTTGAGAAGAGGATAATAACAGCAGTTATTTTTAAAACAGACATTTGTAGAATTGCTTAACCTTATAATGGGGTTTCGATCATTTGTTCAAAAGAAATCCGATTTTAAACTTCACAAATTTTACCCTGTCCCGCTATAGCGTTATTGAGGTTACCATAACTTCAGAAATATTCATTACCAGCATCTAAATTTTTTATATCCTATGAGGGAATAAATGACCCAGTTACTGTGAAAATAGTGTGGCAAACGGATGATAAACGTTTAAGTTAGAGAATTTTTATCAGAACTTCCGGATCGACCTAGTATTATAAGGGGTGTCGACTTTTGGCTTGCAACCGGAGATACTGTAACAAAAATGCCTTTTTGTTATTTGATTACTTTTCAAACTGCAAAGTCATATTTAGATTCCACTTAAATGTTGTCCTACTTTTCTATTGGTCAGTTATTTGAAACAGATTTAAAGAGATTTATGTGACCACCTTATGCCCTCAATGGGGTATACATGTAAAACTATCTCCTTAATGTTTTTCGACACTATCTCGCGATAGCAAACCTACTCAAGGAAAACTATCACGCAAGCAAAAATGTAAGCATATTATTTACTATCAAGATGAACTGTCAATGTTTGTCATGTTTGTCACTCCTTGGCAATCAATTATTGCTATTGGGATAAACGTTTAGTGACTAGGGGGAGGGGCTTGGCACTGACACGAATATTAGATAAAAAATGTTTGTCAAGATTACAAACATCATTTTGAGCATTCAGGACAAAAATGTTTATTACTAGGATTGCGCCTGGTTGTCAGAAAGTTGATCATTTGGAGCATTCATGTTTATCACTGGGGGACGATTTACTTGAGCTCTGTTAGCAATGTTTGCCAATATTGACAAACGTAAATAAAATATGATGAGGCCAAAGGGACAACTTACAGTTCACTGAAAATTGATTAAACAATTGTTTGTCATTGTCAGCAATTATGTTTGTCATTGTTGACAATTTTTAAATTTATGTTTAATAACAATCTCAATAGAAATTAACCGATCACTGACAATTTTTACTTCCCCCAGAATAATTGGTTGACAATTTGCCCCTTAATGTTTATCATTGTCAACAATTATGTTTGTCATTATCAACAATTATGTTTGTCATTATCAACAATTATGTTTATCATTGTCAACAATTATGTTTGTCATTATCAACAATTATGTTTATCATTGTCAACAATTATGTTTGTCATTATCAACAATTCATAAAGTAATTGTTAATCAACTCAAAATAAATCAATTGATCACTGTGACAATTCGTTATATGTTCCAAAATGATTGTTTGTCAATGTTTGTAATTATCAAATGATTGTTTGTCAATGTTTGTCATTATCGACAATTACATAAAATAATTGTTTATCAACTTCAAAGATTTTAATTGATTACTTTGACAATTCTTTATATGTTCCAGAATGATTCTTTGTCGATGTTTGTCATTTTTATTACAATTTAAATAAATTATTTGGTCATTTGTTTGTCGCATTTGACTCAGTATACTGGATACCTTTGTTTGATATACTGAGATTAGAAGTGCATTGAACAACTATTTTATTGTGGTTGAAATTTATTATCTATTTATTATAACTTTCTCATTTTTATTTAAACCTAATTGCCACAGACTAAGGTTTGTGAGGGTAATAAATTTATTGTTACTGTGTTGGTAAGATTCGTAATATTTGACAATTGGAATTTACATCACAACTTCTGCTTAAGCTAAAGATTGATTTAAATTCAATTAAGTTCATATAAATTGGCGAGAAATTATCGATGTTTAAAATAACAGAGGTTGAGATGAAGGCTGTATGGTTCCAAAGTAAGGAGCAATCAGCAAAAGACAACCCTCGTATGTGTTTGATGTCCTGAAAGGCATGCAACCATATAAGGATTTTAGGTATCAGAGTATTTTATGAACTTTAATTGTAATTCTTTAGTTTTGAGTTAGATGAAATCACTAACAAATTACTATTCCATTTATTGTGAAGGGCAGTTTTTCA